ATGACACAGAAGCTGGTCAGCCTTGAATCTGTGAAATGGACCAGATGTGCCAGAGAGTTAACACCCCTGGAAGCAGCACTCAACCAGCAGAGGTGGTCAGTGGATAACACTGTGTCTTCTTTACTCCTTCATTGATGCATGCCTCAAATATATCTATATCGTTTCCCAGAAATCCCTGCAGCATCCAGCCCCAGCTGCCCACCATCGAAACCTGCTCTGGCTCCAGCCTTCCTATCTCGCATCTCTCCTTTCAACAGGGTCTTCCTGGGACCACCTCCCAAATAAACTGCTTACCCTCCAATTTTTGGCTCAGGGTCTGCTTCTTGGAGCTTCCAAACTCAGGCCTTTCCCTGGCCATCCAAAACACAGACCTACCCACATTCCCTTCTCCTCTCTCTCCTTTCTAGAGGCTTGCTTTTCTTTTTAAATATTTTTTAAGAATTTATTTATTTATTTATTTTAGAGCAAGAGAGAGAGCATGTGTGCATGCACAAGCAAGGGGAGGGGCAGAGGGAGAGGGAGAGAAACTCAAGCAGACCCTATGCTGAGGGCGGAGCCCGATGCAGGGCTCTATACCCCCACCCTAAGATCATGACCTGAGCTGTAATTAAGAGTTGGATGTGCTCAACCAACTGAGCTGCCTGGGCGCCCCAGTAATTTTGTTCCTATGTTAGTGTGTGTCTCTGGATAGTGTGTGGGTTCCAAGAGAGTCGGGACCTTCCCTGTCTTGTTTATTACTCTGACCCCAGCCTAGCCCAGTCCTGGGCACTGAATGTCATTGTGGAGTGGCTGCAGATTCCCTTGCATCATCCTTCCACCGCCTGTGGTGACATAGGAACAGAAGATTGAATCTACAGGAGTACAGAGAGGTTGGGCAAGTTACCCGCAGCCCCACATGGGTAGGTTGGAGCTCAGGTCTGCCATCCAGCTCCATCTGGCCACTAAACACCGCCTGTCCCAGAGAAGCACTCACTTGAATGCCAGGTGAGACACCTCCTCTGCTCAGGGGCATTTCTGCCTTTGCCCACTTGAAAGCATCTCTCCAAATCCCATCCTCCTTCCTTCCAGAATCTGAAGGCAAGGTTTGTCTCAGTCTGCTCAGGCTGCATAACAAAACGCCACAAGCTGAAGGAGTTTAACAACAGATATGTATTTTCTCATAGCTCTGCAGGCTAGAAATCCACAGTCAACGTGCCAGAAAATTAGGTTTCTAGTGAGAACTGTCTTCCTGGTTTCTTGTCTTATTATTGTGTCTTTACATGGCCTTTCCTTTCCTCTGTGTACCCAGAGAGAGTTCTGGTGTCTCTTCTTCATATAAGGATGCAAGTAAAGGGATCAGGGTCCCCATCATATTAATTCATTTAACCCTAACCCTAATTGTCTCCTTAAAAGCCTTATTTCCAAAAACAGTCAACCTGAGAGAGCTTCAACACATAAAGGTGGGGGCATAATTCAGTCCATAACAGGGCTCCTTAAAAGAAAGATGATCCCAACCCAAGTCAGCCCCAACTGCAAAGAGCTCAGAGAAGCGGGGCACCCAGTGTGAGCTGTGCTAAGCCAGCAGCAGGGCTGGTGCAGGATCATCAATCACCATGATACCAGAGGGTGGAGAAAGATGAGCCCTCCGATAGAGCCAAAGATGAATGGGGAAGCTGACATATGATTAAACTGGGATCCTCTGCTGGTGGCTGATGGCCCACACTGGGTGCAAAGTTAGCACAGCTGGGTCTGGGCTCATGGCACCCAGCGAGGCACCTGCCCCTCTCCTACCCAGGTTAAAGGATTGTCCCTTCAACCGCACAGCTCTTTGTCATCCCAGCCCTCTTAATGAGAGAATGAGGCAGGCAGTGGGACCAGAGCAGGTGCTGGGAACCATGGGGGAGAGAATAACATTAGTTATCATTCAGGCTGCCTGGTTCTTATTATATTAATAGTGAGAGCAATGAATGAGCACTAGGTACTTCAAGTGCATTTTCTCATTTCACTCATTGGACCAGGGAGGTCAGAGTTAAGTTGGGTGGTGAGGCGACAGTTTCAGGAGGAAACAGAGGGGCAAAGAGGTATTCGTTCATTCATTCATCATTCATTCATTCATCCATCCAACAGATTTTTATTAGGCACCTACTATGTGCCACTATATACACAAAGGTGAGCAAAAATCCACGTGATCTCCGCCTTCAAGGAACTATATTGTATTGAGGGGGGCAGATGATTAAAGAAATGAATCAAATAAAATAACTTCAGGTAATGATAAATGTTTAGAAAATTAAGGTGATGAGAGAGAGCGTGTCAGAGGAGGCAATGTCATATGGGATGATTAGAGAAGTCCTCTTGAAGGAAGGACATCTGAACAGAGATCCGGATGTGGAAGGAGCTGGCCATGGGAGTGGCTGGACTATGAGTGTTCTAGGCAGAGAAAACAGCAAGGGCAAAAGCTCCAAAGCAGGAATGAGCTTGGTATGTCTCAGGAATCGAAAGGAGGTTTGTGTGGCTGGCTTTGTAAAGTGAGGGGTGGGGATCCCTGGGTGGCGCAGCGGTTTGGCGCCTGCCTTTGGCCCAGGGCGCGATCCTGGAGACCCGGGATCGAATCCCACATCGGGCTTCCGGTGCATGGAGCCTGCTTCTCCCTCTGCCTGTGTCTCTGCCTCTCTCTCTCTCTGTGACTATCATAAATAAATAAAAATTAAAAAAAAAAACATTGTAAAGTGAGGGGTGGATTGGTTGTCAGTGAATGGTATAGGAGACATTAGGCCTCATAGGCCAGGGCAAGTATTTGGGATACTATTTTAAGTGGTATGGGATCTCTCTGGAAGGTTTTCAGTAGGAGGGCTTTCAGAAGAATTGGGGGTTTGCTTTACAAGAACCACTCTGCCTGCTGTACAGAGATAGAAGGGTGAGAAGAAAGAATAGTTTAAAGGCAGTGAAGCCATTGACACTTTGTACTATCACCGTCATCATCACCACTACCACTACAGCCATCATCACCATCATCATCATCACCACCACCACTAACAACACCATCACCATTATCACCACCACCATCATCACTATCGTCACCATCACAACCACCATCACCACCACCATCACCATCACCATCATCATCACCACCATCATTATCACCACTACCACCACCACCACCACCACCATCATTACCATCATCACCATCACCACCACCATCACCATCACATCATCACCATCATTATCACCACTACCACCATCTCTATCATCATTATCATCATCACCACAATCAAAGGCATTGAGATGATTGTGGCTTGGACTAGGATAGTGGTAGGAGTGAAAGGTGCAGTGGTTAGATTGGGGTGTATTTTGATGGGAGGTCCCATAGGGCTTGTAGGTAGATTGTGGGGGTAGGGAGGAATTGGGAAACAGAAGCAGCAACTTTGGCGGAATGGTATTTCCCTGCTAGGTTAATCTACCCAATCCTCCTACTTCCATTCTTGTCTGTCCTCTCTCACTAGACCCTACCAAGTCCTGATACTGCTTCAGTCCATCATGGTATGGCTGAAAGAGCCCTGGATTTGGAATCGGGCATTTAAGCTTTTCATTCTGTGTGACTTCGAACCCATGGTTTAGCCTTGCTGAACTTCAGTTCCTTCATATGTAACATGGGACCATAGTGACACCAACCTCCTGGGACTGTGGGGCTAGTGTTGGGCTAAAGTCGTGCTTCCTCCAGTCTGGGCTCTTTGGTTGGAGCTGCTGGGGAACCGAGGCCACTCAAACACTCTTAATTTACTGCGAGCAGATGGGGGTAAGTCAGAAGGATGTCTTCAACATTGCTTCTCAGAATTCTCCAGTAGAGTCAAGCTCTGGTTGCCCACCATGGTAAGCTGCTTCATGATGCATCCCTTATGAGCTGCCTCCCCCTCACCTCCCCACCCCCTTGAGTTTCTTGGGATCACTATTTGCACCTGAATCATTGTCTCAGGGTCAGCTCTGGATGAACCCAAGCGGAGGCACTGGATTATTGTGGAGGTTACACTTATAAAGCCCTGGGCATATGTTAACCACTTAATAAAATTGTGGTTGAATAAATGAATGAATAAGGCTTCCCCTGCTCTAAGGAGACAGATCCGGGAAAGGGGAAGGAGGAAGGGAGAGACCTGGGACCCTTGAAGATGAGGGGGGAGGATCCCAGAGGCAACCCTGCAGCACACCCACCACCTTCAGTAGCTGGTCTGGACTCTCCCTCTCTCTCCAGAGATCTCCTCCTGGCCCTCGGGGAAGCTGCAGGTGCAGAGGTGTGGCCAGAGCCCATTAGTGCTGGACTGGAGAGAAAAAAACTTGAATGAAGTATAAGCGACATTTCACGTGTGCCTTTCATCTTCAAGTGGAATTTAAATATGATATTACAAAATGACAAGATTGCACGAAGGAGCATGTAAATCGTGAGAGCTGCGGAGAGAGGTCTCCGTCTTTCCGGTTCTCCCTGGGCTGTTCACAGCCACAGCCCCGGCTCCCCCTCCCTGGGACCCAAACCCTCATCTTTCAAGGGAGCTCAGAGAAGGCAAGGGGGTTGCCCCAGGCCACAGAGCTCTTCTGGCTTTTTCTCCAGTATTGTCCCATGACCTATTCTAGGGCCTCTTTCAAAGTAATTTTTCCTGGAGAAAAAAAAAAAAACTGCCTCTTGATAGAGCTGCTGTATTTTTTATTCTACTCAGGCTGGGAATTATGGACCAGACTCTGTAGAGATCCAAGTCCCCGAGTGCTGTCGCCATACAGCTGGCATGGGGCAGGAGCCACCATCCGGAGAGTTGGGGAACACACTGGAGAGAGGGGGCTCTGTGGGTGTGGTCCTGAGAGAGGACAGTCCCAGCCCTGAGAGTCCTCTGTGGGATCTGAGAGGCATTTCAGAGAAGGTCACCTTGGAGGAAGACCTAGACTTCCCCTTAGGCAGCTGTGCTGTCATGCTGTGTACATTGGCACAGGCCATAGGGGCAGGGCGGTGGCATGTGGGGCTGCTCCTTGGAGTCCAGGACTTAGGTGAGGCTCTGTTGAATGACCCACTCGCCACAGGGGTTGGCATGATACAGATCTAAGGGGTAGGCACCTGAGGCCAGGTGATGTTCACCTGTGGAAGTGGGGACGGAGGAGGCTGAGGGTGGCAGGTGGGAAGACGCTGCTAGCGGTCTCGGAGCCTCACCGAGCCAGTGTACCGCCTCCACCCCTACCTGTGTGAGCCTTGGCTGCTGTGGCTCACAGCGACCCCTCTCTAGACACTTGACCTCTGCAGATGTCAGATGCCTTGCAGAGGGGCTCGTGCTGCCTCCCCCAGGGCATCCCGCAGCCGACGTCGGCCTGGTGCCCAGGTAGGAACCACCGACTTCCAGGCCCCTATAGGGAACCACGCGAACGCAGTTTGCACGCCAGAGCCCCCATGTGGCCAAGGCTGGACTTCTCTCCTTCTGGCCTTCCCTTCCTCCCTGGGAAGGCTGTGCCTGAGGAGCACTCCCTCAAAGCACCTCTGCTGCAGAAATCTAACTTTAGCCTCTGCCTTTGGGCCAGTGGTTCTCAAAGTGCAGTCCCTGCACAAGCACCAGCAGCATCACCTGGGAACTCATTAGAAATGCAGATTCTCAGGGCCCAGCCGCTGTGTCTTCACAGCCCTCTAGGTGATTCCGACCCGGTGGTACAGTTGGAGAATCACTGCACTAGAGAATGCAACTGAGAACAGCTGCCCATCCTTGGCTCCCACGAAGCCAGGGGAAGAAGCCTCAGAGCGGGGTATGTGCTTGCAGAATTCCTGGCCATTGATCCAGGAGGAGCCTCTTCAGTTAGGGTGCCCCAGAGGCATCAGTCTCACTGGTGATAGGGCAACTGTCACACTAAACAGAAACTCCTGCCCTCCCCCTGCCTCAGGCCAGCTCCAGACAAAACTCCACGCTCCTGGACAGGATCCTGAGGCTCGGCACAGGCTGACCCTTAATCCCCAAGAGGCTGGAGGGGAAGGCTCACCCCAAGTGGACTCTGGCTTCCCCCAGAGGGGCCCAGTGAACCCTCAAGGTCAAGAGCTCCCAGGGACCTGGGCTTGGACCCGTTCCCCATCCGGGGCTTAGAGATATTTCTTCCAACTTCCCAGAGGAGGATGTCTGCTGCCTTCACAGGCCTGCTGCCACAAGACGGAGAGAGTGAAACCTCTGACCTTCTCTCCTAGAGGCAGTGACATCGACTGTTTATGGACCCCAAACCTGGAAGGGGCAGTCCTCACAGATTTGGGGTGCCAGCTGGGAGAGGAGACATAAGAGCCCTCCTGGCAGAGCTGAAGTCCCTGAAGGAGCCCAGGGCCTGAAGGTAAGGGAGCGGCAACTGGATGGCACTCAGGGGGCCAGCCATGGGTCCCCTGTCACCAGAGCACTGGATGGAGGCTGTGAGGAGGGGTAGGAGCAGGGGTGACAGATGCAGGTAGGAACCTGCTGTGAGAGGCAAGTTCTAAGTCAAGGTGGATTATGAATGTGGTATGATTACATATGGTAATTTAAATTATCATATAGTTATTATGTAATTATCATATTATAATTATGGATATCCTGAGTTCAACTCCAGACTCTGTCCCCAGTTTGCTGTGTGGCCCTGGGCAAGTCCCTTTCCCTCTCTGGGCCTTAGTTTTCCCATCCATAAAAAGAGGAAGTAGACTAGACGTTTGCTGAGGACTGGAAATCCAAGAGTCCTTTGTGCCAACTCCATCAAGGCTCCTGAGAGCTCAGCTGTTTCATATATCCTGGAGCAACTGCTGCGTATCAGCCCCACTAATCCTCTTTCAGCTCTTTGGCCAGGCTTCCTCAGGGCCTTTGCACATGCTGTTTCCTCTGCCTGGAAGCACTGCCTCATTCCCCAAACTATACCAGGTGTGTTGTTCTCCATTTACATTGCTCCCTGTATTTCTTGTGAAACCAAAACAGTTTGTAACTTGATATTTATTTTGTGGCTTTAGACTCAGGTCTGTCTCTTCCACAGGGTGACAAGCTGGTAAGTCCAGCGCCCCTGTCTATTCTTTTCATGGTGATTCTAGCATTGCACATGGGACCTGGTCTATGGTAGACAGTGATTCAATATCATTATTATTTGTAGCCAAGAAGCTCTCTAAAAAGCCTACAGAACCCAGTTCTGACCACTCCAGAAAGGAAGGAGCCAATGGCATGAGTAGCTCCCCTCAGTGGCCTTCAGTTCTGAGAGGCCGACCCCTCCTTTGCCTGCTCCCTGCAGGTGAAAGGCTCCTGTCTCAAGGAAGCGCCCCTTACCACGGAGGAGAGGGTGTTTGTGTCCTCACTGCCTTCTTGACCCTGTGAGAGCCAGGACTGAAGCACTCTGTGAACCGCCTGGGGACACGGGCCAGTTCAGTGCTGGGAGTCAGGGGCACCTCCAGAAGATCTGTGATAGGCCAGGCCACCCGGATCTTTGCCACTTTGAACTGTTTTTTTTTTTTAATTTTTTTTATTTTTATTTATTTATGATAGTCACAGAGAGAGAGAGAGAGGCAGAGACACAGGCAGAGGGAGAAGCAGGCTCCATGCACCGGGAGCCCGACGTGGGATTCGATCCCGGTCTCCGGGATCGCGCCCTGGGCCAAAGGCAGGCGCCAAACCGCTGCGCCACCCAGGGATCCCTGGATCTTTGCCACTTTGGGAGTCTACTAAGAAAGAAAAAGATCCATCCACATAGGACACGCGTGCATGCCTGGAATTCAAATGTGTGAGCATAAACACACATACACGTGCACTTACACAAATACCCATGCCAGAAGCACAAGATGCACACATACGCATGCACACCAGCCCTTTGTGCACACAGCATCTCATGTTCACATACATAAGGCTCCCCAAAGTGTGCTTACACAGACAGGCATGGAAACATACGTGTGCACATACCTTCACACTCCAACACACACGAGGAGCCCAAGCAATGCACCTACAGACGTGCATCCAGTTCATACAAATGCACATCATGCGCAACGTGTGTGACGCTGGTCAATTTCTCTGTTCGGGCCCTGCTCCGAACTCCTCCCAGCAGCACTCCGTGTTCTCCTCGAAGGCCTCTCTTTCCTACCACTCATCTCTTCACCTCAATGACCGCACAGCTCACAACGCACCGCACCCCTCCCCCGCACCCCCCACACCCCCCGCCCCCACCCCAGGTTTCCTCCTCGCCCGCTCGGACGGGGCCGGCGCGCCCCCTGGTGGCCGAATCGGCAGCCCCGGCCCGGCAGCCAGGTGGCGAGCACCTGGAGGAGGAGGGTCAGGTACGTGCTGTGGGGCAGCTGGTGCTGTGGGACAGCTGCTCGATGGCACACTCAGGCAGAGGTGTCCCCAAGAACACACCTGGAGTGAGTGGGCTAAGGCTCTGAGAAACCCCAGCCAACCCCGCACTGGCAAATCCCCAAAGACCTTCAGATCAGCACATGCCCGTCTGTTGGATCAGAACCCAGCAGACAGAGACAGATGAATCTAGGCCCCGTGGACCTGATAACAAAGAGCATTTATGCAGCTCTGAAAGAAATGGGTTCCATTCTGGGATCCTAGATTTACTGCCTGCAAGACACCTGAGCAAGACAATACACGGGGGGGGGGGGGGGGCAATTCTCCCATTTTCTAATGTTAGCAACAAGAAAATGTTTAGGTATTCTTGGAATTTTTAGAACTCCCTACAATAAAAATTATTATAATCTAATGTGTCTTAGTAATCACATCAGCTCAGAGATGAAAGACACAGGGAAGCAAGAACTGCGGCAGTGTACAGGCGGTACCCGCGTGGGGGAGGGGCCGGGCCATCCACGCTCTCGCTCTTGAGCTGGGCTGGAAGGCTGAGCAGAGCTACCAGGCCCAAGCCCTTCCTGAAAACGGAAGGGAATTGCAGGCAGAGCAAACCGCATAAGCAAAAACTCAGAGGTGTGAGGTGCCGGAGGAGTGTGGAGAACCAGCTGGCATTTGGTGTGCGTAGAACACAGAAGAACGCCTGGGCTTGGTGGGGGAGAAACAGAACAGTTGGAGCTTCACTTGCTGGTTTCTAGAATTAAAAAAAAAAACAAAAGCCTATCTTACTGACTTGATGGATGAAGGACGGGAGTGAGGGGGAAAGGTGAGTCAGTGGATGGATGAGTGGAGGGGTGGGCGGGTAGGTACATGGGTGCATGTTGGATTGATGGGTGGATGTTAGAGGCTGAGCATTTCCCAGCGCTGTGGCCCGCCAGCAGGGGTGAGCCACACTGCCTTGCCTTCGTGGGGGTCTCCAGGCCTGGCTGGGTCTTCCCAGGGCTCCTACTCGGCCCTCAGCCTTCAGCAGGCCTTGTATGCCTACAGCACAGAAGGAGCTCTCTTCTTTTTTTAAATTTTATTTATTTATTTATTTATTTATTTATTTATTTATTTATTTATTTATTTATGATAGTCACAGAGAGAGAGAGAGAGAGAGAGAGAGAGAGAGAGAGAGAGGCAGAGACACAGGCAGAGGGAGAAGCAGGCTCCATGCACCGGGAGCCTGATGTGGGATTCGATCCCGGGTCTCCAGGATCGCGCCTTGGGCCAAAGGCAGGCGCCAAACCGCTGCGCCACCCAGGGATCCCAAGGAGCTCTCTTCTTACTCTTGTTCCTCACCCTTGCCTTGGACTGTTACTCAGGGTGAGGCTCATGGTGCGCCAGGGAGTGCCTTGGTTATCTGGCTGTGGCTTGTTTTAGGCAGGCCCTGTGCTCCTGGGGCCTTCTGGGGCCTTTAATGATGGCTTTCTCAGCATCATTAAAGCTTCCATGTGAAGGAATTCCTTGTAGAAGCTGAGGGAACACCCAGAATCTGGGGTAGACCAGACAGCTGTGGACTCTCTGAGAGGCATAGCAGTGGAGACAGAAAGTGGAGACAGCTCTCTGACACTAAGGCAGGGGAGGGAAGAAGACACAGGCCCACACATAGGATCCAATGGAGATCCCAGAAGAGACACAAGTAGGGATTGGAGAAATACAACTAGGGATATGTCCCTCATGCTGGCAGGAGCATCAGGGCAGCTGACCTAGCGGAGGATGGGAGCCTGTCCCTGCCACCAGGATCGACACTTCGTCCCTTCCACCCATGGTGGAGCCACGGCACTCGCTGCCCATAGCAGGTCCTGGTAGTGCACACAGTCATCTGCACCACCTCAGCCACCCCCTCTGCCAAATGCTTCTCTTTGCCCTTGGGGAGTTTGGGGGCAGGAAATTTGGGGGCATCACCATGGAAATGTTCTTTAGAGTCATCTTCTTGCTTGGCTCTCAGGCCGCCTCCTTCTTGAAGAATTTCAGGAGTGCCTGGGGAAGGCCACAGAACCTCCCTTGGATCTTAGCAGGTCCCAGCAATCCTTACCTTTCCCAGAACACCATGCTGCACAACTCGAGGGGGCACTTGGAGGGAGCCTGCGGCTGCAATATGGGTGTCCATTTTAGCTTTACCATTAGCCCATCAGGACCTCCCTGTGTCTCAGTCTCCTGCGGTGCACGTGTGGCCCATACCCTTCCCCTTCCCTCCTCCCTCAGAGGCAAAGGAGACATCTGAACCAGATTTCAAGTTTCCGGCAGAAAAGTCACAGCTCTGGGAAATGGGTCTTTTCCGAGATAGCCCCAGGAGGGCTGCTTTTTCAGGAGTTTGGATCTGCCAAAAATGCAAAGGAAAAAAATAGGGGAACAGAGACAATGGGAAGAAAGGGGGGGAGATGATAATACTGTCATCTATTAAGTATTCTTTGTGTTTCTGGCCTCTGTGTTAGCACCTTACATGCATTTGTCATCTCATTCAGTCCTCACAAACACTCTGTAAAGTGGGTTCTATCATTGTGCCCATTTTACAGAGAAGGAGAACGCACCCAAGGTCACATAACCAGTAAGGATGAAGGGAAGGAGGGAGGGAGGGAGGGATGGAAAGCTGGAGACACAGATGGTGGATGGATGGATGGACGGATGAAAGGAAGGATGGAGGAAGAGCATACATGGAGCATCTACAAGGTACCACACCTTCCACTCTATGAGTTCTCGTGCGTTTGCTCTTGTAATTGCCAAAACAATCGCACACAATGCTATTATTATCCTCATTTTACTGAAAAGAAAACAGAAATTCAAAGAGGCTGTCTTTTCTACCAGAGCCGAGGCACCGGGAGCTAGGTCCCTTGAGCCCGGCTGTCTGGTTTTGCAGACTTCCTCGGGGCCTCCAAGTCCATGCCCGCAGCAGACGAGGGCTCCAGCAGGCCTGGGCTTCCTCACAGCTCCACCCTAGAGGTCCACCTTGACTTTGACCCAAAGCCAGCCAAGTGCCAGAGCTAAGCAAAGGCTGCACCCCCGCCCCACCCCCAGTCCTGAGCTCCTACGCCCATAACACACAGTGGGAGTGCCCTAAAAGAGTGTTTCCCAGATTGGCATCCTCCCACTGCAGCAGAACACAGCGGGGCAATGCTTTCCCCGCACACGAGGTCCGCTTAGCCAGGCTGGGGGAGTGCTGCAGGCTGTGGGCCCGCAGCCCTGGGAAGTCTGCAGGGAAGAACGAGCCCCAGCCTTGCTCCACTGAGTCAGGGTTCACCCCTCTTGTTTGGACACAGAGTCCTTTCCCCGTAACACCTGTCAGCACCACATGGGACTGGCGTCCGGCAGTCCCCGCTCCGGAAAGCACAGATTTCTTTCAGAGCTCATCTGCTTGCTGTAGGGAAGAGGTCTCAGGAAAGACTCAGCCGTCCCCGTGGCCGTCACCGCACGCAGCCCCAGCCATGGTTGTTTTTTTTTTGTTTTTTGTTTGTTTATTTTTTTATTTTTTTTCATGGTTGTTGAAGGGATGGATAAATCAAGAATGAATGAGCAGATTTAGAGACCTGATGGTGGCTGTGGGCTGAGATGGTGGAAAGAGGCAGCTCTGGTTACTGTGTCTCCTTTTCTTCTTTTTATTTCTTTTTTAAGTAAGCTCTACACCCAATGGCTCAAACTCACGACTCTGAGGTCAAGAGTGAGGTGCTCGCTCTGCTGACTGAGCCAGCCAGGTGCCCAAGTAACCTTTACCCTCAGGGCATGTCTGCTGGATTCTGGGAGGATCGGCTGAGCAGGTGGAGGGCCTGCAGGTACTGCTTCAGGTCGGGGCTGTTTGAAGGAGGAGGGAGGACTTGGCCTTTGGTCTCTGGTCTCTGTGGGAGGTTCAGGGACTCTCCCCTGTCAGTGTGGAGACCCCCTCTTGGGGAAGGGAGATAGCAGAGGCTGCCAAGTCCAGGGATGGCCAGGAAACCCTGCATCAGGAGACCTGGAACCGTTTCCTGGGCTGGTGTCAGCTCAGAGAGCTCTGACCAATGCTAGTCTCGAGGCTCGCTCCCTGTACTGTGTGAATAAAAAGTATCATGCGCATGCACACACACATTCACATGCATGCACCCACGTGTGAGCACACACACACTCAGATGTGTGGTCCAAGAGCTATAGTCCAGGGTGAGAAATGCACTGAGCCCACAGTCACCTTTAGGAGGGGAGATAGTCAAGTGCCCTGGAGACAAGGTTTAATGGAGCCCTTTGCATTTTGAGAGCTGCAACGGAAGTGTCCCCCAGCTGGGGTCAGGATCTCCAGGGAGCAGAGGAGGTGGGAGTTACAGAGTTCAGAGAAAGAGTTCACCAGGCCAGACCAGATCCACCAGCTGATAGCTGGTGGAGCCTGGGGACCAGCTGCACGGGGGTGGGGTGGGGGAGGTGGGGGTGGGTTGAGGGGTGGACACATGGGGTCAGGGACGGAGGCTGAGCACCGGGTCTTCATCCCTCAGATCCTGCATGGCTCGACTTCATTCTTCATTCACTCATTCATTCATTCATTCATTCATCTGCTCCTCACTCAGCAAGTATCATCCAGTGCCTGTTGGGTGCCATGCTCCAGTCCAGGGGAAACCAACAGAACCCAGATTTGCAGAGCTTATGTTTCAGAGGAGAAGATAATAAGTGAGCCAAGAAATGACTAAGGATCTTCAGATGCTGATTCACACTAAGAAGGAAACAACAGGGTACTGTGATAGGCAGCGCCTGGGCGGGCCTCGGGGAGGTGCTGACCCCCAGCTGCCATCCCAGTGCCCAGCGGCAGCCCACAAGCCGTGCAAGGGGGCAGGTTTCCAGAACAGGAGGGCAGGGCACAGGGCCTGAGGGAAGAAGGAGGAGTGGGGAGGCTGGGGGCCTGGCCCATGTGAGGAGTCAGGGCCCAGGCCGGGAGGAGCCCAGACAGAGACAGGAGGGCCCTGGGGGCAGAGAACGGGAGGCACCGAGCTTTATCCCAGGCAGTGGGTCGTGGACCAGGTGGAGCTGTGTGGTGACAAGATCTGGTCTGAGTTCTGTTTGATTTTTTATTTTTTTAAAAGATTTTATTTATTCATGAGAGACACAGAGAGAGAAGCAGAGACACAGGCAGAGGGAGAAGCAGGCTCCCTGCAGGGAGCCCGACAGGGGACTCGATCCTGGGACCCCAGGATCACGCCCTGGGCCAAAGGCAGACGCCCAACTTCTGAGCCCCCAGGCGTCCCTGGTTCTGTTTTAAAACGAGACTGTATGACACAAAAGCTGGAGAGGACTTCTCGGGGTCCCTGCCCTCAGCCACACGTGGAAATGGGACTGCCTGAGCCCTGCAGTTTGCCTGGGCATCACAGGGAAGGCCGGGAGGAATACAGCAGTGAGCAGAGCCTCCGGCAGTTCCCGGGTGAACCTTTTGAGCACATCGGATACATCTTGGGGTGAACCTTGTCCCAGCTAAAAAGGCCAGTGTAGAAATCTCTCCCCAGGTTTTGTTCCGTCCCCTGCAGGGTGGAGGGGCGCCAGTGAGAAGCTGGCCCAAGGCTCTAGGGAGAGTTGCTCTACCACTTCTCTGGGCCTGTTTCCTCATCTGGAAAGCAACCAACCATCTCTGAGGGCTGATCCAAAGACGAAACGGTCTCATTGTATAAGTCACATGGCACAAGGTTTCACCCAATAAATGTTGGCAGGCTGACTCCAGGCCCGCAGCTCCACCCCGGCGCCATACTGTGTCGCCTCCCTGCCTTCAACCCTCCTGGAACTCCCTGACCCAAACAGGACCCAAGACAGAACACGGACAATCTGGGAACTGGGTTCTCCCCTGGCTTAACACGGGAGATGCAGCCTTGAAGATGCAGCCTGTGGTTTCGGGGGAAACCACACCGTTACCTTGACCCTGGCCTGGTATCCGGGCACCCTGAGAATGCCTTCTGTGTCCAGCCCTCTCTTTTCCAAAATAGGACAGCAGCTATGAGAGAAGGAAGCCAGCGTTTAAACCATGAAAAGTGGGATTTAAACCGGTGTGTTTATCTCCCATGAAAACCGGGCCGAGGAGAGAGCTAGGAGAAGAACAGCTTTCTTGGCCACTTCCAGGAGCCAGCCATTGCTCTGAGAGCTTCATACGCATTTTTCTCATTTATTCCTTCATAAAAGGAGGATACTGTTATTATAACTTCACTACAGAGATCTTGACAGGGAGAGTCATAGAGGTTCAAAGATTCATCCCCAGTTTCTGAGCTAGCAAGTGTCAGAGCCAGATTTTGAAACGAGGAGTCCCAATTCTAAAGGCCACACTCTTACTCCCCAGGCTAGACATCTCCCAATGGTGGCCCCAGACACAGCCTCTCATGGGCAACGAGCCAAAGCTGGGGACAACATTCAGCTTGAAGGACCAGTAGAACCAGGTGCTGGGGAGGACTTTGCGATCAGCTTCTAGCAGGACATCAAGGGGCACCCTGAAAACCCACGTTTCTGTGGGAAGTCAAGAGCAGAAGGGGCATTTCACATCCTTGAATGACAGTTGGGTTCCAACCTGCGAGATCTTCTGGGCAACTGAGTCAGATTCCTTCCCTGTGTGAAGACTGGGCTCTCTGGAGAACAGCTGAGCTCAAACTTCACATCTCTCAGGCAGAACCCTTGGTCTCAGCAGTAATGAAAATGTTAGCTGCATCCCAGACCAGAAAATCTCAGTTGGATGAAAAGGTGTTGAAAGGAAAATGTGCTGCTGCCCCACAGAGCACGGGGCAAGGTATGTACCAGTGGCCTGGGGTAGATAGTCCAGCTCTGCAGGCATGGGCCACATTCCCAAGACGTATTCCCCAGGTCTTACTCATCCTGTCTTACGGTCTTCTAGGGCATGCTCCTCCTTCCAAATCCACTCTACCTTCCTTCTCCCTCCACCTGTCTACTCCTCTCTCTGCAAAACCCCTACCCCTGGTCTGTCTTATCCACTATCTTTTTTTCTTTAAAGAAACAAACAGGGCAGCCTGGGTGGTTCAGCGGTTGAGCACCTGCATTCGGCCCAAGGTGTGATCCTGGAGTCCCAGGATCGAGTCCCATGTCGGGCTCCCTGCATGGAGCCTGCTTCTCCCTCTGCCTGTATCTCTGCCTCTCTTTCTCTCTGTGCCTCTCATGAATAAATAAATAAAATATTTTTTAAAAATAAACAAACAAAATTCACAGTGTGCAGTGTTGACACTGATGCAGTGTCTATTGAAGGGTAACACACACCAAGAACCTAATAGGTATATTCCAAATAATCTAAGGCACATTCAAAATTGTATGTACAATAATAGGGATTGTATTTTATAATAGGAGAAACAGGGAAATAGTAAATGTCCACTGAAAGGAAATGGTTAAATAAATTAGAACATATCCCTAAGGAGGAAAATAATACCATGAGTAAAAATCATGTTTTCAAAGAATGTTATTAATAATTGTCATAAATAATAATAATATTCTAACCAAGTTCATTACCCCTCCTTGTATCTGCACCCTTTCCCATATGAATTTGCATACTTCCCCACTCCTTTGCTAGTCAGCCAAGTGATAGCTTTTTTTTTTAAAGATTTTATTTATTTATTCATGAGAGACACAGAGAGGGAGAGGCAGAGAAGACATTAGGCAGAGGGAGAAGCAGGATTCCTGCGAGAAGCCAGATGCGGAATTCAATCCCAGGACCCGCGGATGACGCCCTGAGCCAAAGGCAGAAGCTCAACCACTGAGCCACCCAGGCGTCCCACAATAGCTTAGACCAATGGATCAATAAACTCCGTGATGCATGCAGAGGTTCAAAATGCATTGTATGGTAGGGTTTGCTCTCTTGTGCTTCTGCCATTAACTGGCAGAAGAACAGGCTCCAAATGGCCTGCTAGTCCGGGAGGATGAGACAAATGAAGCAGATCCAGACCCAGCCAACAGCTTGAGTCAAGGCCACTACATCAGCCAATCCCTAAACATGGGAACAAGAATAAGTGATTGTTGTTTTAAGTCATGAGTTTGGTGGTTGTGTGTTATGAGGCAGTATTGTGGCAATAGCTGAACGATACAATGGGAAATGTCCATAATTCTATAATATTTAGTGAAAAAAAGATACACATGTAACACAGGAAGATGATGCACAGAGAGTTAATGGCACTTATATATGAACTGAATTTTTCCTTTTTGTATTTTCTCTATTTCCCAAATTTCCTACAATGAACAAATTGTTTTCAGTTGAAGAAATATACATATATGTATATATATAACACATATATGTAACAGAATAGACATATATGGATGGATGTATATATACCTATAACAAAGAGATACAGCAGCTAAGCATGCTTTAGTGGAAGATTCTCCATGAAGCTCCTTGGATGAGAAAACCATGGGTTTTGGGAGTCCTGCTGACTTGTTGCCTTCCACTTCCCTGCCTTGCTCCTCTTCAGTCTGAGCCACAGACCACACAGAGCACAATCAGCTCCATGAGGGCCAGAGCAGGGATCTTCTGCACATCCTGCAGGGACAAGTCTCCCTTCTAGGTCAGGCCAAATCTGCCTTTGGGAATCCTAAACTTCTAGGGAGGGAGGTAAGGACAATTGCTCAAGGGACACCTGGTTGGTTCAGTCGGTTAAGCATCAGACTCTTGGTTTTAACTCAGGTCATGATCTCAGGGTCCTGAGATCGAGTCCTACATAGGGCTCCATGCTCAGTGTGGAATCTCCTTGAGGTTTTCTCTCTCCCTCTGCCTCTGCCCCTGTTCACTCACTCTCTCTCTCTCTCTCAAAATAAATAAACAAAATCTTAAAAAAAAAAAAAAAGGCAATCGCTCAAGCTGCATGTCTGGTATGTGTGTTGAGGCTCTCCCATCCCTTGAAGGAGGTTATGAGAAGGAAGAACAGAGTGGGTGGGAAGTGGGGCTCAGGATTCCATCCCAGGTTCAAGTTCAAGCTCTATCTCTGACTGACAGGGTTACATTCTGAGCTTCTAAATTCCCATCTCTCACCATAAAATAGTGCCTCTCTCAAAGCGTTTTGTGCAATGGGCTAAGGGATGTAAAGTGCTTAGGGAGCCACCCACATAGGAAGGCCACAGTGAAGGTCACTGTGAAGCTATCTTTATTACTTGCATTCCAACAGAAGGGGCTGAAGGAGAGGGAACACTGCACGGGCCTCTTATCATCGCTTCTATTCCGGTCCTTTGTTGCTCTCCTTTGCCCCATCTGTCTCCACCCTTGGCAGTGCCACCCACGGCTCCAATGCTCTTCTTCCTATTACTCTGAATAAGAACATTAATGGAAAAATAAATTATGCTTGACTGCGCCTCTGGAGGCCACAGTGGGGTCCCGTAGGCAGCACCAGCCATTCCCTCTTCCAGAGGTGAAAACCAGCAAGAGGGAGGGACTGATAGATTTGTTTAGTATCGCCAGGAGGACTTGAGCAGGTTACTCCAGAAGGCCGCATTCGAGTGCCCCACGAAGGGAAAGGAAGTGTGCTCTGGTTGTAGGTAATGATGTTACGTCAATCGGCTGTGGTACAGCTTAGCACTTGACGCATAAGCTGTGGCGTCACACCTCCTGAATCCAAAGTCTGACGTTCCCTGTGAGTTTGGGTAAATCATTTTACCTTTCTTTGTGTCAATAGTCTCACTTGTGAAGGGGGCTAATGACAGGATCTACTTCACGGGATTGTGGGGGAGATCCAATTAAATAGAGCATATAAAACAGTGCTTCACACACAGTGAGTCCTCAATAATTATGACTATTACTATTTTTTAGTTTACTTATTCAGGGAGTTATTGCCAACATAGCAGAATGAAATGAAATCATGAATGTAAAGTACTGGGTATAATGCCTGGTCCATTGTAAAAGGTCCATATGGAATATCTTTAGATTATTTACCATCATCATTCATGGTTTAATGGATGAAATCAAATGATCAAGGCTAGAAGGTAAGATAATGTTGAGCATTAATTATCTCTGATGCTTTAGAAATAGAAAGTCAATATTTAAAATTTTATTTTGATGTCCTGTGCTTACATAAGATATTTTCCCTGGGAGAAACTAGGTAAAGAGTACATGGGAGCTTTGTACTATTTTTGCAACTTCTTGCTTCTCAAAATGAGAAAGAAACATTCTACTTGGGTGAATGAAAGTGCTTTCCCATTGGGAAGGGGGCATGCTTCCTAAGCAGTGGAGAGTAAGGTCCATCGGGAAGGGCTGGGAAGGGCTGCTGGTGGCTCCGGTTCTGCCTCAAGATCAGTCAGCTCTATCACCTCTCTCTGAACTTCACTGCTCCTTTCCTGCCAGTGAGATGTGGGTGCAATGACAATACCATCTCCTAGGGTGAGGTAAGGAATCAAGCCAGTGCATGGAAATCTCTGGAACAAGGCCCAGAGCCAGCTACCTAGGGGTTATCCAACCACATCAAAATATGGTCAGTGAAGAACCTCTTCCTTTAAGTAACAGCAGGACCTGGGAAAACCTATACACGATGAGAGGGGTCAGAACAGTGGCCGCCCCAGAGGGTGGGGATTAGCCAGGAAAGGTGTGGGGGAGCCTTTAGGAGTACAGGACATGTTCTAGATCTTGATCTGGTGATAGTTATACATCAAGCTGCACATGGTAAATATCTGCGCACCTTACCATGCACTGTATTTCCATCTTAAAAACCTAAATATAAAAAAAAACTAAATATAAATGATGGCATCCTCATTTGGAAGGAACTGTGCTGGACAGTTGAACCTTTTGTGGGGGAGGCGCGAAAGGCAGAATCTGGGCTCTCTCTTTCACACCAGACACCACAATTAATTTAAAAAATAACTAGAAACAAAACACGTAGGTGAATAGTTATCAGTTTGCTGGATGAAGCATAAAAACTTTCTAAGGGGGGATCCCTGGGTGGCGCAGCGGTTTAGCGCCTGCCTTTGGCCCAGGGTGTGATCCTGGAGACCCGGGATCGAATCCCACATCGGGCTCCCGGTGCATGGAGCCTGCTTCTCCCTCTGCCTGTGTCTCTGCCTCTCTCTCTCTCTCACTGTGTGCCTATCATAAATAAATAAAAAAAATTAAAAAAAAAAAAAAAACTTTCTAAGGGTAAAAATAAAGAAGAATGCAAATGAACAAACATAAGGTAAAGAAGGAGCATAAAGGCCTGTAGCCCCCTGCTCCCCAGTCCCTGGCACAGGCAGTTACTCAGCAGGTGGCTGTGGTAGGAGCTCAGTGAATGAAAGGTTCAACCCCTGTGTGCTGGGTGCCTGGCAGCTCGGCAGGGGTGAGGAGGGCGAGGCAGGCTAGGGCGAGGCAGGAGGGCTGAAGGATGGGCTTGGCCACCAGCCCTCTGGACAGCGTGCTCACCACAGGGAACCCTTGCCCCAGGGGCAGAGGCCTCCGAGCACCTTCCAAGCGCGGAAGGCTCCCTCCCTCCCGGCCTCCCTCTGGAGGTCCCTCAGGCTCAGCGGTTGGAAATTGGGCAGAAGGGGTTGGGGCCCCTGGGAGGCTCAGCGGTTGAGCTTCTGCCTTTGACCCAGGGCGTGACCCCGGGATCTGGGATCGAGTCCCACATCGGGCTCCTGCAGGGAGCCTGCTTCTCCCTCTGCCTATGTCTCTGCCTCTCTCATGAATAAATAAATAGAATCTTTAATTTAAAAAACAACAACAAAAAAGGAAACTGAGCAGAGAGGCAGTGAGTCAGGACTGGCTGCCTCCCCATTGACTCCAAGCCCAGATCCCCAAGAAGCAAATTCCCAGGCTTGTGCCCTTGCACAGGCCCACGAGACTCAGTAGCAATCACCTATGATTAGGGCCTGAGATCGTGACCCCAGGAATCAAGCTCTTAGGCTGAGGATTCAGGCCTTTGCCTGAGCAAACGGCAGGAAGAGCGGGATGCTTAGAGGCGCGCCCCTTCTCTTACTTCACAGCGCCGCCCCGTGGGGCAGCTGGAGAATGCCCACGCCTGAGGAATGAAGGCCACGTACCCGGAGGAGACTTAGAAGCCCGGGACCTGGTATTTTGATAGGGATTGCATTAAACGTGTAAATTGCCCTGGGTAACATTGACATTTTCACGATATTAATTCTTCCAATCCAAGAGCATGGAATATTTTTCCATCTCTTTGTGTCTTCCTCAATTTCTTTCAGAAGTGTTCTATAGTTTTTAGGGTATAGATCCTTTACCTCTTTGGTTAGGTTTATTCCTAGGAATCTTATGCTTTTGGGTGCAATTGTAAATGGGATTGACTCCTTAATTTCTCTTTCTTCAGTCTCAGTGTATAGAAATGCCACCACGGACTTTCTTCAGAGAGTTAGAACAAATTATTTTAAGATTTGTGTGGAATCAGAAAAGACCCCGAATAGCCAGGGGAATTTTAAAAAAGAAAACCATAGCTGGGGGCGTCACAATGCCAGATTTCAGGTTGTACTACAAAGCCATGGTCATCAAGACAGTGTGGTACTGGCACAAAAACAGACACATAGATCAATGGAACAGAATAGAGAATCCAGAAATGAACCCTCAACTTTATGGTCAACTAATATTCGATAAAGGGGGAAAGACTATCCACGGGAAGAAAGACAGTCTCTTCAATAAATGGTGCTGGGAAAATTGGACATCCACATGCAGAAGAATGAAACTAGACCACTCTCTTGCACCATACACAAAGATAAACTCAAAATGGATGAAAAATCTAAATGTGAGACAGGATTCCATCAAAATCCTAGAGAACACAGGCAACACCCTTTTTGAACTCGGCCACAGTAACTTCTTGCAAGATACATCCATGAAGGCAAAAGAAACAAAAGCAAAAATGAACTATTGGGACTTCATCAAGATAAGAAGCTTTTGCACAGCAAAGGATACAGTCAACAAAACTAAAAGACAACCCACAGAATGGGAGAAGATATTTGCAAATGACGTATCAGATAAAGGGCTATTTTCCAAGATCTATAAAGAACTTATTAAACTCAACACCAAAGAAACAAACAATCCAATCATGAAATGGGCAAAAGACATGAAGAGAAATCTCACAGAGGAAGACATAGACATGGCCAACACGCACATGAGAAAACGCTCTGCATCACTGGCCATCAGGGAAATACAAATCAAAACCACAATGAGATACCACCTCACACCAGTGAGAATGGGGAAAATTAACAAGACAGGAAACCACAAATGTTGGAGAGGATGCAGAGAAAAGGGAACCCTCTTGCACTGTTGTTGGGAATGTGAACTGGTGCAGCCACTCTGGAAAACTGTGTGGAGGTTCCTCAAAGAGTTAAAAATAAACCTGCCCTACGACCCAGCAATTGCACTGCTGGGGATTTACCCCAAAGATTCAGATGCAATGAAATGCCGGGACACCTGCACCCCGATGTTTCTAGCTGCAATGTCCACAATAGCCAAACTGTGGAAGGAGCCTCGGTGTCCATCGAAGGATGAATGGATAAAGAAGATGTGGTTTATGTATACAATGGAATATTACTCAGCCATTAGAAACGACAAATAATCACCATTTGCTTCAACATGGATGGAACTGGAGGGTATTATGCTGAGTGAAGTAAGTCAATCGGAGAAGGACAAACAGTGTATGTTCTCATTCATTTGGGGAATATAAATAATAGTGAAAGGGAGTATAAGGGAAGGGAGAAGAAATGTGTGGGAGATATCAGAAAGGGAGACAGAACATAAAGACTCCTAACTCTGGGAAACGAACTAGGGGTGGTGGAAGGGGAGGAGGGCGGGGGGTGGGGGTGGGGATGAATGGGTGACAGGCACTGAGGGGGGCACTTGATGGGATGAGCACTGGGTGTTATTCTGTATGTTGGCAAATTGAACACCAATAAAAAATAAATTTATTATTTAAAAAAATAAAAAATAAATACAAGTATTTCATTCCTAAAAAAAAAAAAAAAAGAAAAGAAAAAAAGAAGCCCGGGACCTGAGCTGTGGCTTTTCGTTTCATTGCATACCCCAGGCCCCATTCTCTGAAGACACCCCCTCTGCAAATTACCAGCAGCTCCCAGTTAGACTCAGGAAGCACTGAGACATAGGAGCCATTCCCAACCCCTTCACAGATGGAGCAGCTGAAGCTCAGAGATCTTGCCCAAGATTCCATAGTTGCTAAGGACCTCCATGTAAAATGGGAGCACAGTGGCCTGCAAGCACGCAGGTAGCATGCACACCCTAGCGCGCAGGTGCACACAGACGCACGTGTGGGCGCCAACACAGCCCTCCAACAGTATCACTGCAGGAGTTGGTGGCATGAATGCCACTTATTCACCATTGAGCTGAAGAAGCCAAAGATGTCCCTGACATCTCTGACAGGTGCCTTGTGTTGTCTTCCGGTTGAGCAGACATAGATGTCCAGCCGGCAGCACACAGCAACCTCCTGGGTCGGTGTCAGGGTGTATGGGAGCCCCTGGTGCTCACTGTCCAAGCCCTGGCCACTGAGGAGGCCTGACAGGCCTGTGTCCTGCAGCCACTGGGATTTGGCTTCTCCTCCTACCAACAGAGGAGAACACCCAGATGAACACACACAGCTACATGCTCAGCCACATGCAGTAACCAAAGCCACATATAAGAATGCATACTCACATGGACGCAAGGGGCATCCACATATCTGATCACCAGAGACCCCCTAACACCAACTAAACTCGTCAGTGGGGAGATCTAATAGGATGCCTGAGAAGACAGGGGATGCTGATGGGATTAACCACAATCTTGATGTAACCACTTCCTGGATGCCACTCCTGGGAAACAGAGCAGGCTGGGGAAGGCCTCCTGTATGCTCTGATTCTGAAATGTAGCAAAGAGCTCACTCCCCCTCGCAGATCTGGCCGTGACCACAGAACCACGTGGACGCTGCTGTGTAGAGTGCCGGCAAGCAGGTGGTGCGCACTTGGAAAGTCTCTTCCTAGTCAAGACCTTATTTATAATGGAATACACCCCTCCGCTATGCTTCACCACCGTCCTACAGCAAAACCTTTCATCCAAATCAGTCCTGAGTCCCACTTCCACAGATTCCACCAGGAGTTCAGGCTCTGGGCCTGGGAATCTGCACTTGGAACACTTGGAAGTCGCACACACATGTGAGCAGACGGGGTGGGGGAAGGGGCTGTATATGGTTGTACCCAGTGTGACCAAGCTAGTCCACCAGGTGCTGGTGGTTTAAAAAACCTAAAACTGCTTTTATGACAGCATGGATTGCACACATAAGCCAGACATGCCAGTCTTCCAACATTTTCCCTATACTTGGGCACCAAGCAAATGCTTCCAGGGTAGCCACAGCTTTGTGGGTCCTCCCCTAACACGGGCTGGCTGGTGGAGGCACTGATTCCATTGCAATGCCAGGAGTTTTTCCCTCCTGCTAACCACAGGTCATTTGTGCGGGATCTTTTCAACAAACCAGTGTTTCCTGAAATCAAGACCTTTACCTTTTGCCTTTATAATTTTTTTATGATTTTATTTATTTATTCATGAAAGACAGAGAGAGAGACAGAGACAGAAACAGAGGCAGAGGGAGAAGCAGGCTCCACGCAGGAAGCCCGATGTGGGACTTGATCCTAGGACTGCTGGGTCAGGACCCAAGCCAAAGGCAGACGCTCAGCCGCTGAGCCACCCAAGCATCCCGCCTTTATAATTTGTATCTGTATATAATTAGTCATGTACAATTGTTTACTTAATATTTTCCCTTAATCTGGGGTCACATTTTAACCTACGCCCATTCTTTTAAACACTCGATATCCCAACCATTAAATGGAGCATCTACCACCACTTCTGTAAGTAGAAGTTAATGAAAACAACGACTATGTTAACATTTTTGGTCCCGTGGCTCCTGGAGGCTCCCACTGCCCTGTGAGTCTAAAAAAGCTCCTGTTTCTATTTAGTTATCCACATGGGTTTCTCCATTATCCACTCTGGCTTCAACCCCTGTTCTGTGTGAAATTGGATTGCTGGCCAGGTCACGATGGCCGGCCGCTTTCCTGCAGTGGGGGAATTTCCCCAAATCACTGTTTCGGTGCCCAGTGATGTGTATTCCATATTTGAGATGCTGCAGCAGACCTTGAGGGATCCATGTCTCCCATACAACCACATGTTCTGGAAACCATGGGCTAGTGTAGTTGAATTATATGCCCAACCAAGGAGATTTCCATGGGATGCTCTCTCCATTCCCTCATTCACTGAGCAACTATGGATGGAGTATGAGAATGTGCTTGGCTCAGGTCCAGGCACTGAGGAGGTAGCGGTGAAGAAGATGGACAATGTCCCCAGCCTTGTGGAGCTGACGTTCTGGGTCCTGAGCGAGAACTGCGTGGCTGAGCCCTGTCAACCCCAGAGCAGTGAGATAGCCTCATCATCATCGTCGTCGTCATTATCATCACAGTGACTGCTGCTTTACACTGCTGAGTTTGGGTTGCCCATACAGTAACAGGTAACAGGGACACAGGGTTGTCTGTCACACAGAGAGGGATGGGGAGACACTTACATTTGAGCAGAGCACTTGGGAGTTCCACTGGAAAGTCAGCTCCACAAGGGGACAGACTTCCCTTTGTGTTGGCTGTTGTATAGCTTCAGTGCCCCAAACAGTACCTGGCATGTAATAGGCACTCATCAATATTTGCTAAATGAATTAATCTAAGCAGGGCATCTGATTTACATTATAAAAAGATAATTTTGACTGTTGCACGGAAAAGGGGGACAGCAGATGGCCAGGAGCAAGGGCAGGGAAGTCAGTGAAGAGAATACTGCACCAGTCCAGATGCGAGGGAAAGCCCTTTCCTGTTCTGGTTTCTGTCAGGTTCCTATAGCATCTCCCTCTGTAAAAGGCAGGGCACCCAGCAGGACCCAACCAGGGGCCTCACCTAGTGGGAGCTGGCCTTCACCCCTGCTGCTGTTCTCTTGCTTCGGCTCATCTCTCTATTGGATCCGCTCCACCTCCATCTAAATGCTGTCCCTGGACGAGCTTTCCACCAAGCTATTATTTAAAAAACTAAGACATAAACAACAATACACTAGAAAAGAAAAGAATGCAGCTGGAGGCTGCATTCCTCCAGCCACAGGAATTGGTTCATGGAAGGTAACACACAGAATACTTGCTGGGAGTTCTGAGATAGAGACAACCTGCTGGCTCTGGCCCTGGATGCAGAGCGAGTAGCCCCGAGGAGGTGGTGGCCATACAGTGGGGGTCCAGGCTCAGAACAAAGTGGATCTCATACTCGACATAAATAGAAAATTTTAAAGCTTGGTCTTAGATGATGTCATTGTGCAGTTGAGTCACAAGAGGGTCACCTACACGGTGCATTTTACTGGAAAGATCCTTGTTGAGGAGGTAGCATGGTTTTTTAATCCATCCCCCCCACCCCCCGACAGAGGCTTGGGTTTCTTCCATCTGTCAGTATCACGACAAGCATCCTCATGTTCATTATCCTGTTCCCTGTGTGGAGGTACCAGTAGAACAGAGGGCCAGAAGCAGATTTGCAGAATCAAAGGGTTTGTGAGACTGTGACGCCTCTTGCCAAATTGCCTTCCAAAAAAGGATTGTTCTATTGGATTTGTTTGTTGTGATTGCTGTTGCAGCCTGGACGGGGTGCTGGTTTTGTTCCTGCTACCTGCCTGGCCTCTGTCTTGCGGGGTTCTGTGCCCTGGAGTCCCTGGGGCTGCATTTTGCCCACAACTTGAGATCCCACCTGTCAGTGTTCCCCCAGCTTCTGGAGATGTGATCCAGTATCCTGGTCCAGTGTCATGGATATGTGACCTGAGCAGTCACAGGTCCCTCCCCTGCTTAGAAGGGCCTCCTGCTTGGTTTCACCATCATCATGGGATTCTTGATAATGTTTGAACAAGGGTCCCCATGTTCATGTGGCGCATGCATGGCTTGTGCCTTTTTCCCAAGTGTCCTGCACACACACTGAGCTCAACCCCAAGTGATAACATACTCACATCCTGAAACATACTCAAATGTGGTAAAGTAGAGAAATCTTAGGTCCGCCAGGGCCCAAAGGAAGAGGCAGGGCACCAGCTCTCCCTGGGTAACGGCTTGGCCATTTTCACCAAGCAGAAGCTTAACTGGAGACCGATTCCCAGTTAATTATAAAATTGGCTGTTCCACTCTATTTATGCTTTTTGAGAAAGCTGCTAGTCGGCGCACCTCCTGCGAATCTGTTTGGTCCCCCATGCTGGCACACAGTTTGGTTTCTTTAGCTGTTTTGCGATTCGCTTGAAAATTGCCGGCATCTGTGTGTTTTTGTGACAATTTGAAAACCTCAGTGACTAAACCCAAACAGAAGTCAACTGTGTCACCATTTCAACAGCTAAGCAATGAGAGAGGAACGATCGTTTCTCTGGGTGAACATCCTAAGGGGGTCAGACAGGGGCACAAGAAAGAAGAGATGAAATAAAACCCCAACGGTTCTAAAGGTGTTGTTGTGCCAAGATCACAGTGTGCAGCGTGGCCAACAAATCTTCAGTTTAGCAGAACTACGGGCGCTCAGCGCATCCACAAAATTCATTCTGAGCTTCGCAAACACAGTCAATTTTTTTGTTTTGTTTTCAACATTTTATTGATGTATAGTGTGTGCAGAAAAGTGCACAGATGTCTCTAGTTGTAATTTTGTTTTTAGGCATTTACCGAGCATGTACTACATGCTCACTAAGCGATGGTTAACCACATCAGACAGTTCAGAAGTTAAGAACTTTGGCTCAAGTGTCAGACAGGTCTGACTTTGAATCCTAGATCTGTCATTTATTAGTGAAGTAACCTTGGGGAGCCTCAGCTTCCTCATCTTCACATGGAGACCACCTCGTTTGGTTTAAGAGCTACTCCAGTCAGCCAGCCAGCGTGTATTGAGCTCCTGACACAGCCAGTCATTAGAAAGCTAATGTACGCAAAGTGCTGGAACAGAAGTCCTCAGTGATTGGCAGCTTGATAAATACATGTTGCTTCTGGGTGCTTCCCACCTGACATTCAGAGGGACAAGTGACTTGCCCGAGGATGCCCAGGTGATGAGCTGTTTCTAGCTCCTGTCCTGCAGTGAGGAGCCAGAGGCTTACAAGCCCAGCCTGTGACAAAACATGCCATCGGGTCCGATGGTCGGGGCAGCACTCACAGCTGCTCAGAGCTCTCCCGAATGTGAAGATTCTCCCCACACGCCAGCTGGTCGTCCCCCCAAGCGTCCTGTGGGAGAAGGCAGCATCCTGGAAGTCCTCAGCTCCAGTCCGTATCCTCTAATACCTACTCTGTGTAACCATGGATGTGTCCCTTTCGGGATCATGATCTGAGCCAAAGGCAGACACCCAACCGAGCCACCTAGGTGCCCTGGAATTGGGTTTAGAGCCAGTTGCTAAAATGCCGACATCAGCTGCTGGTTCAGGGTGGAATGAGGACAGACAAATGCTGGGTGCTCAGAGGTGCCTGGTTACACCCGGTCATAACCACCCCTGATTTCAAAGAGGGCACAGACGAAGGTACAAAAAGGGAAAAGCCACAGACATTTGGCATTTCCATGGTTTGATTCCTGGGCTGCAGGAGGAGGCTTCTGGTAGCAACTCAGCTGTTTTTGGTCCTAGTACTATATTTTACAATGTTTGAAAATGTCTTCCCAACAAAGAGTTCTAAGTGTGCAGCTTGTGTTGTCCTGTGTCATTTGAGTTAGTACTGGGCAGATCAAATTATTGTTCTCAATTCATTATTCTTCCTTCTACTTATAGACTTTGACCCCACCCATCCATTGACTTGGGCTTTGGGCACATGCCAGGCTCTGGCCAATGGAATTTAGTGGACATGAGATAAACCAAGGCATGAAATGTGCCTGCATGATGGGGCTGGCCCTCTTGTACTTCCCATCACCATAGGAAGAACTGTCCCTGGATGGCTGCAGCCCGAGTCCCAGAATGAACACATGGCACAGACCAGAGACCAGCCAGCAGGAGAAGCAAGTTCAGCCAGACCCACAGCTTGACATGGAGCCACCAGCAGAGCCTGGGCCAGATCAGTGACCCCTTAGGCAGCCAGCAGACACATGACTTGAATAACGAGTGTTGCTTTCATGAACGATTGCCGTTGAGTTTGGGATCATCTGTTACACAGCGATAGCTGATACAGACAGTGTATTATTGAACAACCTAAACAGCTTGGCCAGAGAACTAGTGGGTCCACTCTCTCCCACTCACACACATTTCCAGATGCTAGGTGCACATGCCGCGTGCACACTCCATGTCCCACCCTCCCCCCCAACTCCCAGATGAAATGACATTCTAGGTTCTGAGTCAAGAGAAGGGTGGGAATCGGGGATCCCTGGGTGGCGCAGTGGTTTAGCGCCTGCCTTTGGCCCAGGGCGCGATCCTGGAGACCCGGGATCGAATCCCACGTTGGGCTCCCGGTGCATGGAGCCTGCTTCTCCCTCTGCCTGTGTCTCTGCCTCTCTCTCTCTCTCTGTGACTATCATAAATAAATAAAAAATTAAAAAAAATTTAAAAAAAAAAAGAGAAGGGTGGGAATCGGATCTCTCAGAGCAGAGGCTGAAAGGCAATGGGTACATCAGGGAACGTATAGGTCCCTACTTTCCCATGCCATGGTCACGTGTGATAATGTGGGCTTATGGAGGGTCTTTCCTCTGCTGCTTTAGAACTTGCATGGAAGTCTGAACTCTCTGTGCCCACACAAGTATTCTATGTAACTTAGTCTATGACTGTGATGTGGATGTGCCCCTTTGGATGTAACATCTTTATGCAGTGCACAACCAGAACATCAGTACACAGCACTTTTGCTATTTATGAAGCAATCCCTGGGAGAATGGGGGCAGGGCAGGAATAACATATAATAAAAGGCAAATCCTGTGTTTATATTTTGAGAATCATGTTAACTGAGCTCCTAAACTACCTGTAAGGCAACAACTTTCCCCTTAAGACGGGATTGCTAGACTTTGAGATTTAGACTGACCTTCCTAAAGGTCACCACTGCATAAATGTGGTGAACATTTCTGGGATGGCTAGGGGAGATGAAAGTTCTGCCCAAGACCTCTGGGATGATGAATGTGCCCAACCAGAAGATCAGGATCGACACCAAGCTCCACCTGAAGTGGCAGAGTGGCCACCCTCCTGTGCCTTAAACACTTAATACAGCTTGCCATCATTTGAACATAAGGAGGTCTTATCTTTAAAAATCCCCCAGTTACAATTTCTCTTGAAAAGAAATAAGAAGAGATGATAATCCTGAGGCCCGAACCCTAAGAAGCTGGGTGATGGCCACCCCTTCCAGTGAGCTTCCAGCCAGCAGTGAGTCCCTGCTCTGCTTTCCAGAGAGGGTCTGAAAGTTCCCAGGGGGTTGAGGTTTGCCTCCATCCTTCCTGTAAGCAAGGTCATGGACACTAGCTTGTCCCCACCTGAGCCACTTAATCAGATTATTTTATATGCTAGGCAACGTCTGGAATCGTGTTGGTCATGTGTGGTTACTAAGCACTTGAAATGTGGCTAGTATGACTGCAGAGCTAAATTTTTTAATTTTATTTCATTTTAACCTTGTGAGTGAGTCTGAGGGACCAGACAGGGATGAAGCCCTGCGGGTAGAGGCAGGTGATTACTGTCCAGAGAAGCAGCATGGAAGCGTGAATACTATAGATAGAATACTACCCTCCCCACAAAAAAGGTGCCCAGGTCCCAATCCCCAGAATCTATATGTTCTGCTACATGGTGAGGTGGGGATTAAGACTTCCATTAAGATGGAAGGGTGCCTGGGTGGCTCAGTCAGTTAAGCATCTGCCTTCAGCTCAGGTCATGATCCCAGGGTCCTGGGATTGAGCCCTGTATCTGGCTCCCTGCTCCTTGGGGAGCCTGCTTCTCCTTTTCCCTCTGCCTGCCACTCCCCCAGCTTGTGCTCTGTCAAATAAATAAATAAATAAAACCTTAAAAAAAAAAAGATTGCAGATGGAATTTAGGTTGCTAACCAGCCAACCTTGAAATAGGGAAACTACGCTGGATTATCTAGGTGGGCCCCATGTGACCACTAGGGTTCTTAAATGGGGAAGAGGGAACCAAAAGAGTGAAAACCAGAGACACAGTAGCATGAGAAGGACTTGGGTGGCACACTTTGGAGGTTGAAGGGGACCACAAGCTAAGGAAGGCAGACGGCTTCTAGAAGCTGGTGAACAGGCTCTCTCCTAGAGCTTCCAGAAAGGAATATAGCCCTGCCAACACATGATTGCCCTGGGAGACCCCCTTTGGACTTTTGGCCTCCAGAACTCTAGGATAATAAATCTGTATTGTTTAAGCCACTTAAATTATGGCAGCAATAAGAAATAATTAGCACAGTGGCTTAGGGTCCAGGGCCTGGAGTCAGACTGTTTGGGTCTGTCCTCTTGATGTGTGACCCTGGGAAAGTATCTTAGTTAGGCTCTTGGCTCCTCCCGCTAAATGAGGGTGGTGATGATGATAACAGTATACATAGAGTTGTGAGGAAGAAGTAAAGTAATGCATACAAATCATTTGGCTTCTACTAAGTGCTCCAGTAAATGTCTAAAAGCAAAACTGTGCTTCAACACAGCCTACAAACTACCTAAGATGGGGCAAACAGCCCAGAGGGACAGAACAGTAACCGGAGTAGGATGGGGCTCAGAAGAGAAGGTTTCCTGGAGGAGGCAATGTTGGGACTCAGTTTTATTTTTTTTTAAAGATTTCATTTATTTATTCATGAAAGACACACACACACAGAGGCAGAGACACAGGCAGAGGGAGAGGCAGGCTCCCCACAAGGAACCCAATGAGGGGACTCGATCCTGGATCCCAGGATCAGGACCTGAGCCAAAAGCAGACATTCAGCCACTGAGCCATCCAGGAGTCCCAGGACTCAGTTTTAAAGGGTCAGTGAACACTAGGGAGGAAATGAGATGTGCAGAGCTCGCAGGACAGGAAGCAGGTTACTATGCTGGTAAGTACAAAGGAATTTTCCTGGTGCGGGGGGATCGGAGCCAACATTAGGGTTTGATGAAAATGAAATTGGGAAGAAATAAAGGGTTGTGGGGAACAACTCCCCAAGCAAAATAAAATCCAGAAGCCATTAACCAGCAACACCTGAGGTTGGATTACAACAAAATTCAAAACTCCTGTATAACAAAGATACCATAAACAAAGTTAGTGACCAGCTGATAGGATATTTGCAACAAATGATAAAGTTACTATCAAGTTTATATAAAGAGTTCCTAGAAATCAATAAGGAAAATTATACTATTATAAACTCATTA